ACAACTCTGCTTAGACTATATTCCATTTGGTCAGAAATGTACTAAAAAAACATCAGTAGGAGAATTCTGGTCAATTTTGTTTATGGAACAAAATGTATTCACAAAACAGCTATTTTTTCTACCTATATTCTATCTACAAATGGTTATAGTGATGAAAGCTACATTTCCTGTTCTAAAGCAGTACCTTATAATCAAACAATATTATCCACTGAATTTTAAAGAGAGCTCCTATAACATTCAAATTTAATATATAAATTGTATTCTTCTCAAAAATGCCAGTCAAAGAATTAATGAACTACAGCTATAAAAAGACTATTTACTTTCATTATATGTCTGTATATAAGAATTTTATATGAATCACATTTCCAAATGTGATATGGTCACATATAGAAATAATCCAGACTACAAAAAAATATTTTCACTATGTTAACTTATTTTAAATAAAAATTATGTTCTAACCTGACCAAGTTCTTCATTAAGGTCTGATGTGTTAACCAGGGCTCCTTCATTAATTTCTTCATCATAAAAGTCTTTATCCCATGAGATGAAGAAGGAGCCCAAGAATTTCTGCATTTCTACTGTGACATACATGGAGACAGGAATGATAAAGTTGAATAGAACCATAAATGATAGGAAGTCGGTGAACATTTTCAAAACCTAAAATGAAAGAGATAGTTCACGCTAATTAGATGCACAGTTCATAAGATGATTGTATTAATATAAAGTAACAGTTAACATTCCCTTTTTAGTTGAAGGTTGAAAACACTGTTCTTGCTATAAAGAAACTGCCCAATGACACTATATCATTATTGTTTAAAATTATCACAATATGGAGGCCAGCATAAGAGGCATAGGGGTTAAGGTGCTGGACTCCCACATGGCCCACTGCAATTCAAGTCCCAAACCTGGCAACTTGAATATCAGGCTAGGCATGTGTGAATGCATGCCCAAAATTTCAGAAGAACAGAGGAGAAGGAACCGTGGTATGGCCATCCCCCGCTCAGTGGGAGGTGTGAATACTCACTTTCCCTCTCACTGTCTCTCTCAGGTAAATGTACATGCCCTGTGGCAAAAACCTAAAAAAAAAAGAAAAAGAAAAAGAAAAAAGAAACATGGCTTAGGGCCACAATAAAACTAACAGAAAACCTGAATGCTAACACAAGGTATCATTATCATTTTCCTGAATAGCATATCAATAGTAGGTGAGTTGTATAAAAAGTTTTAGAGTTACAATTTTCAACAGAAAACAAACTACCTTCAAAGTCTCCCGTTCCTTCTGTGTCTTTTGGTTATACCAAGGTTCATCATTGTGTGGGTTACTTTGCCAAACATACTTTAGAGTAGTGCATATTGCAGCTTTGGTCAATAAGATAAATAAATACACTATTAGGAAGGCATTAATTGATCTGAAAAATAAGATAGTACAGAATTTAAAACCACCTAATTAAGACATCATCCAGATATAAATCAAAATATTTAGTTATCTAATGTTTCTACTGTGGAAGATATGTAACCTCAGCACAAGCCTTTCTAAAACCTATTATCACAACTTCTGCACCTGCTTTCTGGTAGCAAAACGAAAAAGCTAGACCTTAAGTGATCACAGTGCTCCACAAATATGCAGTGTTGACTGGCTTAACACATCTTTAGCTTGGCTTCTGTAAAGTAACTGAAGAAACATACACCATTTCCAACTCAAACCCTTAGAGAGGAGTTGTCTCCATTTCCCTGAATCCTACATGTTTGGGTTAGAGGGCAGGGGGGCAAATGTGAAATCCTCAAGCTCAGTGTAGATTCTTTGGTTTCAAAGTGGAGCTATGGAAAGGGTGCCACTGATATACTGAGGATCCATGCTGATAAAAGAAAGTGACACCTGGCTTGAAGACCTACCAGGTATCTCTTCGATATTTGCCAGGAGTCTATTATCTATGTTGTAGAACTAGCTTATATATAGCAATTAGAAGATCCCAACCATTAACTCTAGTAGCAAAAGAGAGTGAATTGATAGTTCAAGTAAACTCTGCCCTTTAATAGATATGTGGGCTTAGGTGAGCCGTTTATGATCTGGAGAACATTTCCAAATCTACAAAGTAGAACGGCTAACAAGAATTATTTCATGGAGCTGTTCAGAGAACTAAATCAAATCATAGAGCACAGTTCATGGAACATAAACAAGTGCTAAAAATGGTATCTGTTACTATAATCGATGTTGTTTTCATTATGGTTGTTATCTGGAATTACTGACAAAGTTAACTATTTCCATCAGTAATGACTAGAGAAATTGTGATGCATACTAACTTTTCAACAGCAGAACGTTTCTGAGATTTCCCTTGGTAGTTCAAAGCCATTTTAGTTTCCATCCCAGTGTAAACAGCAACTCCTAAGGAATAACAGAATGTAATGAAAACTAGGGTACAAGTGAACTTGTCGACCAATTCCCCACCCAGTTGGCTCTATGAATTTTAGACCTACGAAAAGTGAGAATTTTAAGTCCTCTTCTACTCACCAGTTGATATATCTTTTATAGTATAATTTTAACTCTATATAATATAGGTCATATTTCATATTACTTTGCACCTTATAAAATCCCAAGACCTAAATATGGGCTTAGATTAAATAGCAACGTCTTCCATGTTGACTTTCTAACATGCACTATTATTCAAAGGCTTTACAAAGTATATTTCTAATAAGAATATTTTTAAAATTGTTCACCATAAATCTTCTCAGTATTTTTTAGTGTAGCTCCTTTCAGCAAGAGATTTTCAGGTCCCAAAGACCTAAATAAAAAAACGAACACAGCTTATCTAAATAACCAAACAGTATCATCAATTCTGAGGACACGTTTTTCCCTGACACACATCCATCTCCAAGGGGTTCCAAATGTTATCTGTCTACTTATACCATATGCTTACTCCCCAGGAAGAGGTGAAAGATTCCTCCCTCTGAAGTCACTTGAGGGAACAGCACAGATGGAAGCACAGCACAAAAGTAGCCAGAAACACACAGAGGTACAGAAATGCACAGAGGGATAAAAGCATGAGTCATAGACAGCAAGATAAGAACAGGACAAAGCACCAGGGAATGAGAAAGAGAAACAGGGTCACAGATAAAAGAATGGGAAGGCAACAGTCAAGGTGGGAAAAACATACTGGCATATTTGCTGAGAGTAAGCCCGCCTTTTGGGAGATCACTAGGCACCCACTGTTTCTTTAACTTCTTTTTGAAAGTGGCTATAAAGGCCTAGTACAAAAGTTGAGACAATTAACTGTATGCTAAGAAGAGGAATGATGGTATCTCTTTTTGTATGAATTGCTTCATTATAATTGATTGACTTTTCATTTTACTTAAGTCCAACTAATTCTCTTAGCATTTTGTCCATTGACTACTACCTTAATTACTCTCTTAAACAACTGTTCTCCAGGTATATTTCCAATGTTGTCACCTAATACACAACCAGGGATAATAGATAATGGCTAAAAAAAGGTTGAGAATATATACAAAGTATTTAAAGCTCTGATATTTTGAATACCCTAAGCATTACTTCCAAGAACCCCCAAAGAAACTACCACCATAACCCTACTAATCTCAAGGTTAGTTACTTAATCACCTTTAAATCCCTTTCTCTAAAGAGAGGTATCTGACAATTTTAGTGGGTTTATAAGAGAACTATATCCCCAAGGACAGATGAAAGGAATAACAAACTAACCTGGCAACAGCCTCAAGACTATTACTATAGATATTGATTCGTCCAACAAATCTGTAAAAAGAACATAATAATAATGTTTTCTACGTACAGGTAAAATCCATAACCACAAATATGGGAATGAATCAAAACACAAAAAACGCAAATAGGTATAACTCTGAATGAACTATAATAGCTTATTCTATTACCACAAAAAAATAATGTTGAAATGATAAAGTATATAAAATTTTCATCTTATTTAAAAAATAATATTATGGAGGGGCCAGCAGGTGGCATACTGGTTAAGGGTGCTTGACTCCCACATGGTCGACCACGGTTTATATCCCGGACCTGACAGATTGCTTTCTCACTTTCTCTCTCTCTCTCTCACTCACTCACTCACTCTGGTCAAATTTAAATGAATGAATGAATGAATGAAAATAGGTCTTTAAAAAATAATATTATTAATTAAAAGAGTGCAAACAGATAATTAATTGTTGAGCTCTACTTAGCATTACACATGTACACAATACCCCCTCTCTCCTTTACAACTTTATAAATAAACAATGTGATTTCTATTTTCAATTCATATGAATAAAGACTTCTGATATTAAAATACAACTTTCAAAACTTCTAGTTCAGTAGTTCTTATACTTAAGCATGTATCAGATCACTGGAGTCTTTTGGATTTCTTGGCCCCATCCCTGAGTTTCTGATTCAGAGTCATAGAAGACGCTGATGCTGCTAACACAGAGACCATCCTTTAACACAGCATTAGTCTTAGACAGTAAACATTTGACTACCATCTTGGAAATATCCAGCCTGATCTCGATACTAAGCACATGACAACATGCATTTCTGCAAAACAAGTAAAAGAGTCTAACCCCTCCTAAACAAGTGTGTTATGAGTGTTTTGTAATTCGCATAGTAAGTAGCATTCTTCTTTTACAGAAAAATAGGATATTTTATATTACTGTTTATATACACAAAGTATGATGGTCTGCTCGTTCATTGTGTATTAATTGTGCCAGTACTGTGTTAGGTGCAGAAGATACACTAGTAAGTAAAAGAGACATATTCCTTGCCCTAAGAAAGAAAACAGGTAATTACAGTACAAGTGATCACCACGAAAGTGGTGGAGACATAAAATATTATAAAGTCACATAGCAAGGGATTCGATCTAGTCAAGAGAACTTAGGAATAACCTTTCCTGCCCTAAAATGCTCCTTTATATTTATAGCAGCTTAAAACTTTGGGGATTTCCCTATAAATATGCCAGGGTATATGACGTATACAATGAGCTCTAAGTCAGAATAAGTCACTTCCTTTTCTGAGATTCCATGGACCCTGCACTTATCTCTATTATCACACTGTACAGTAACTTTAACTTTATTCTTCATCTCTTTTGCTCGCTGTGACCTGCTTGAAGGCAGAGAGTATCTGTTTTACTTTGTGGCCCTAGTTCCTACTGGGTTGCCGAAAAAGTTATGGCACATTTTTGTATAGAAAAACAGAATAGTATCAAAGTGGAAATGGAAGAGGAAGGAAAAGAGGAAAGAAGGAATGATAAGAAGGAGGGAGAGTACTGTTCTTACAGTAGGATGAATACTTTTGCTATTTTACTACGAGTTAGTATAAATCACATCCAACCATTTGGTCCCCCATTATAACCAACAGCATGCATTAGCAACTTGGCTGGTATGGGTAGTGGATGCCATCTGTAAGAGCAGAATAGAATGAAATCAATTGGCCCATGTAGGGATAAAACCTGTTAATCTACCCTCATTAGCACAATGCTCTAATCAACCAAACAAACTAGTCTTAAAATCAATGGCAAATTTTTGATAACCCTCAATGACTATGAATCAGCAAACCAATTCCAGAGAACCTAAGTATAGTAAAAGAGGATATTACATCATTTCACTGCTCCTTACATTTAACTGTTTACCTTGAACAAGAAACAATGTATAATGCTCAGTTCATCAAGATCATTTTGAGGAAGAATAGAGTGCCCACTAATTGCATGGCCCCATATCCTCTCCTCTCTTTAATGCTACATGACATGGAAAGGGGTTTATTTCTGTTTTAATTAACTGGTTACTGCATTAGTCTGATTTACCAGCCTTACAGAGTAACATAACTTAAAAATTTGATAGATGGCCATATTTAAAAGTAACCAAAATAAAAGGAAAAACAAAATCACAGGATGCCTGGGCCTACAATGATTTATCTTAGACTGGTAGTGAACAAAGCTGATTTTGATTCATTTCCCTGCCAGAAGGAAGAAACAGCTCATAAAACATAAATGAAGAGTAGGCTGGTAAGTGGTGGGTGTTTCTTTGCAATACTAGTGGCAAAGAGAAACAGAGCCAACAAACAGCAGTAAAATGAAACTAAATGATACTTACTTGTAGAGGTCAGGTTGAGGCTGTTCACATTCAATTGCTGCTCGGAGGTTATCAATGGAGCTGGCTGCACACAGTGCAATGGTATCACGTACTGCATAATGTGTCTAGTTGAAAGCAGAAGAAAATCAAAAACAAAAAAGTGTTTCTGCTCACTAATTACAGTAAAAGCTTTACAATAATAATAAAAAGTGATGCACATTTCCCACAAAGTAAGTTTTATGGTATTATTCTTAAAATATGTTACAAATAACTAGATAACCGTGTTGTAGGATTTTTTTTTTTTTTGGAGAGGT